ATTATCATTGAGGGAGGAAGTTTTAGTGGGCTTCAAAGGGATGCCCCCCCCCCCCCCCCCCGCCGGCCCAGAAGAGATGTAGCACAGACTCCTTTGAAAGGTAACGGAGGAGATTGAAGGGGCTCTGCCATTAATTTTCAAATACCGTCTGGCTACGGGAGGCGTTGCCATACTGGAGGATGGCTAACATGGTACCATTATTCAAGGTGGCTGGTAGGGATAAACCAGGAAGCTGCAGGCCATGAAGTCTAACATCAGTGATAGGGAAATTCTTGGAAAAATTCTCCAAATTTAATTGATTTTTTTCTAGCAGGTGACTAAATGTGCAAGTGTACTTGATGAAATCTACATGGGCTTCACTAAGGCTCCTGACAAGATCTTACATGACAGTCTGCTTAAGAAGCTTAGAGCCCATGGGATTCAGGACAATTTGGCAAATTGGATCCAAAACTGACTTAGTGGCAGGAAGCAGAGGGTGGTGGATGGAGGATGTTTTTATGGTTGAAAAGGGTTTGGTGCGGGGTCCCTTGCTGTTTGTGGTGTACATTATTGATCTAGACATGGACATAAGTTGTTAGTAATAAGTTTGCAGATAATATACAAATTAGTTGTGTGGAAAATAGGAGGAAAGCCTTAGACAACAGGATGATTTGGAAGAGCTGGTCAGAGAAGCTGAACAGTGGCAAGTGGAACTTAATCCTGAAATATGAGGTGATTAATTTTGGGAGCACTTAGAATGCAAGGGAGAACATACTGAATGCGAGGACTCTATGGTACAGAGGATTAGGAGGACTGTGGTGTGCATGTCTGTAGATCCTTAAAGGCGGCAGGACTGGGAGTTAGATAAGGTGTTGAGAAGGCATATGGAATATTTGCCTTTATTATTGATGGACTTAGAGAAGGATTTTGATCTCCACCAGCTCAGAAATGATCTCTCTGTTCTCTGCAGTCACAACTGACTATAAGAATGAAGAAGACCAGTTAAACTTTCATTCAGCAGTTACTAGATATTGTGACTTCTAATTGGTAAATCAGAGAACTTTCACATGCGAAGCAGCTACACTGTGCCTGTTGCAAACTAGTGGAAGCATTTGTAAAAGGAAAGCTAGGAAAAAAACCTTTGGATTAGCAAGAGCTAGTTCAACAGAATTTGCAGACACACTATTAAACTGTTTTTCCCCTTTTCCATGTGTTTTTACCATCTGTACATCTGTGGCCTGCCTACATGCAAGGGGGAGTTGATAAGGGGATTATAGTTTTAATTTGTGTGTGTTATATTATGATGGTTTATAACTGTCTACCTGTAGCTACAGTCTATATCAGTTGTAATAAATAGTAATTTTTAAGTACAGAAATCTGGCCCGGACTTTCTGTCAACATGGATCTGTAATGAGAATTCTGTGTACTTACTTTAAAATCTTAACTTTTCTGATGACTCCAGGAATAATAGGAGTTGATTTCCAGCATGGTACCTCAGTCGTGACATTTAACCCTCTCAAATGTATTGCCTTACTTCTCAGGATTGAATTCCATTTGCCATTTTTCCATTCACCTGACTTGTCCATTGATAACTTCCTGTGGTCTGTATTCTCTTCCTTACAATCAAGCACACAGCCAGTTTTTATATTGTCTGTGATTTGAAACTGTACGTCCTAGATGTCCAAGCCATTTATATGTGCAATGAAAAATGCGGCACGAGTGAAATTTCAACCTTCAGTGTAGGCTGGGATTTAAATGTATGAGGAGTGTTCAGACAATCTGTTGATAGGCATCCCAGTTTCAATCCACAAAACTGCACAGAAAAGAGCTATTGTCACTGTAATGGTGTTTTTAGTTGCTACTAGAGACCAGCCACAGCTGTTTAGTTAATATGTTGTACAAAATTATATATTTAATGTAATCTTAATTACAAACCAATGGCTTAAACTTGCTACTCTTTCCATTTTTAATTTTATTTTCTTCATTGTGTTACTGGCCATCTCTGTTGAAATGTGGTGATACTTGTTATTTGGAAAGGTCAGTCTTCACCTCTTCTTTCTCTCATAGTTTTATGGTTTGCTTGTGTTCCAGAAGCATGAGTGTTAATGGAAATTCAATTAGTATATTCCCAAGCTCAATTTTAAACATCTATCAAGCGTGCTTAAGTGGTTCTTAAGTTCACAATATGTTTGGGATAACATTTATTTTTGGAATATTTTTACTTCTATATCTTTAAATTCTGTTTATTTCAACCCCTAGTTTGGATCAAGTGATTGCTACACGTCCTAGGAAGACTCCTATCAGCCGACTACAGGAGTATTGCACAAAAAGTGGTCAATTCCTCCAATATGAACTTGTGAAATCTGAGGGTCAATCTCATCTGCCTAATTTCACCTTCAGAGCAACAGTAGGAGAAGTGAGCTGCACAGGTTTGTCGAATGCTATTGCTATTCCCACCCATGGCTCCCTTCTGTATGTTAAAGCTGTAATGTTCCACATCTGTTTCATATAAACAGATTCAGATATTTATTGCAAAGATATTCCATGGTAATGCAGTTTTGTACTTCTAGACCTAACTGTAAACAGATGCATATCTCCTATAAATGAAATTTATTGAATTGGATGTAACACAATGTGGAGCTGGAGGAACACAGGCCAGGCAGCATCAGAGGAGCAGGAAAGCTGACGTTTAGGGTCGGGACCATTCTACAGAAATGGGGAGGGGGAGGGGAGTTCAGAAATGAATAGAGAGAGGAGGGCTGGGGCTGGGGAAGGTAGGTGGGATGGTGATAGGTGAGTGCAGGTAGGCAGTGGTGGGGATTGGTCAGTGAGGTGGGAGGAGTGGATAAGTGAGAGAGAAGGTGGACAGGTTGTGCCAGGTCAAGGAGGCGGGGATGAGAGGGAGGGTTGGTCAGGGGATGAGGCTGGGGTTGGGGAGATTTTGAAACTAGTAAGATCCGTGTTTAGGCCATCGGGTTGTAGGCTCCCAAGACGGAATACGAGGTGTTGCTCCTCCAGTTTGCGGGTGGTGTCATTGTGGCACTAAAGGAGGCCCAGGATGGACATGTCACCCAGGGAGTGGGAAGGGGAGGGGAGAGTTAAAATGTTTCGTGACCGGAAGGTGTTGTCGTTTGTCGCGTATAGAGCGCAGATGTTCTACAAAATGGTCTCCAATTCTCCGTTTGGTCTCACCTGACTGCGACAACGTTTACATCACCCTGACCGCGACAATGTCTACATAAACAACATCCAGAGCCTCCAAAAATGACTTTCTCTACGGATGGTGAGACCAAGGGGAGATTCAGAGACCATTTTGTAGAACATCTGCGCTCTGTACGCGACAAACAACAACACCTTCCGGTCGCGAAAAGTTTTAACTCCCTCTCCCACTCCCTGGGTGACATGTCCATCCTGGGCCGCCTCCAGTGTTACAATGACACTACCTGCAAACTGGAGGAGCAACACCTCATATTCCGCCTCAGGAGCCTACAGCCCGATGGCCTAAATGTGGATTTTACCAGTTTCAAAATCTCTCCACCCCCAGCCTCTTCCCATGACCAATCCTCCCTCACATCCCCTGACCTGACACAACCTGTCCATCTTCTCTCACACCTATCCGCTCCTCCCACCTCACTGACCAATCCCGACCACTCCCTACCTGCAATCACCTATCACCATCCCACCTACCTTCCCCAGCCCCAGCCCTTCTCTACTTATTGCTAAGCACCCCTCCCCCTCCCCATTTCTGAAGAATGGTCCTGACCCAAAACGTCAGCTTTCCAGCTCCACACTTCGTTATCTCTGACTCCAGCATCTGCAGTTGTTGCTATCTCAGTTATATAATTGGATGCCTTGTCTGATAGAACTCACTTCCTGTGAGTGTAATAGTTGCTTGCTGTCATTTTTCATTCATCATAGCTGTATCTTCTAAATGCTTTCATTTTGAAAATATAATTTGATTCACTTGTTTGGCTGATTGTTCCTACGTGACCTCTCCTGTCTCACATCCTCTTGATATCCGTCTCTGTGGTAATGGAGGAAATTTCAATGTTTAAACATCCACAGGTACCATTAGCTTGTTGAACCACCTTAAACTATCGTAAACAATAAGCCTCAACCCTGTTGAGTTGGCCAGTGCAATTTCTCTTATTTGTTGTTCAAGCTCTTACTCTATATACCATTATAAACTAACTTAAGTAAACAACCTAGAGATGACAAGCAGCTTGTATAATATGTCATTGCAAAAGTGTCCCCTGTTTTAAAAGAAATGCTTTAACTAACTTTAAAGCCCTTTCCTGGTTCCTGAGTTTATTGAGTTCAGTGCTTTTGAGGGATACAGTAGGGGTTGACCTTGGTAATACTGAGCAGCATCTAAGCCAGTTGGTTAGCTCATATGACTGGGTGGCTGCTTTACAATGCAGAGTAATGCAAACAGTGTGGGTTCAATTTCCACATTGGCTGAGGTCACCACAAAAGTCCTGCCTTCTCAACCTTGCCTGAGGCAGCTGCCCTCAGTTTAAACTCACTACCAGTCATCTCTTTCAGAGAGCAGCCTCTGGGACTGTAGTGACTTTTTACTGAATGGCATTTCTTTAGGCGTTGAGATCAGCTGGGGAAGTGGCCACATTGTTCTCAGTTCACCATTTTGCATTCTTTCCAAACCACTACATCCCATAACACTGCCAAACAATCATTGGACACATAGTAATTGGATGCTGTCAGATTTGTGAAAGGGATGTCCCATTTGACAGATCTGTTGAAAATTCTTCTTGGATGTAAGTGAAGGGTAGATAAGGTGGGTCCAGCACATTCCGATTGTCAGAAAAGTATTCAGTGGTGTGCCTGTTGGGATTGTAATTTAGTTTTGGTTGAGAACTGGCTAATGAACCTCAACAGAGTATGAATCAGTGAATCATTTTCAGGTTTGCAGGTTGTAACCAGCGGGGATACCACAGAATTTGTGCTTGGGCCTCAGTTAGTCATAATTCATCTCAATGATTTAGGTGAGAGGATTGAATTTAATATATCCATGTTTGCTGACAATATGAAATTGTGGGAAAGTAGGCTTTAAGAGACATAGGCAAGTGAATGAGTAAGAGCATGGTAGATGTAATATAATGTGGAAAAGTGAAGTCATCACTTCAGTTAGGACAGTAGAAAGCAGAATTGTCTTGGTAGGTGATTTTTGATCGTACATGTTATGGACCTATATATAGCTGTAGAGTCATGGTCTGTACCCAGCCCCTAATTCCAAATCCATTGTTGCAGTGAGGATATGTTCATTGGTTGTGGAATCTAAACCAGGGGTCATGGGGTAGGCCTTTTAGGCTTGATATGAGGAAACATGTTTTCGTCACCAATAGGAGTGAACCTGTTGAATTCTCTAACATAGAAATTGTGGAGACCCCCAAAATCATTGAATTTTTTTAAGAAAGAGATGGATGTTAAAAGGCATCAAGGGGTAAGGGGAGAAAGTGACAATGTGGATTTGAGATAGAGGATTAGTCATGATCATATTGAATAATAGAGCTACCTCATAGAGCTGAATGGCTTACTCCTGCTTCTAGTTTCTGTTTCAGCTGCACATCTGCCTAGATGGAGCCTGTGGCCTTAACTACATTTTCTTCCTGCTGCTGTTCCCCAGAGATGGGAAGGAGATCAGATAGGTGGCTGTTGGGGATGAATGGTCCTCAATTAGGAGCTAGGGTGAGTGGAGTGCAAGGAACTCCTTAGGGTGGAGAATTGTACAGTGGAACGTGGCACGTAGGAGTCAGAAGAGTGAGAAGGGGTGTGTGCTCCCAAGTGTTGGGCAAGTGTCGTGTGGGGTTTGGATGAGATGTGGGTATGGGAGATGATCAAGAAGGAGGAACTGTATAAGGAAGGATTGTGTGGATACTAGGCAGGGGAGAGGGGTCAAGTGGGAGACAGGGAGTTTGAGAGTCAGGTGACAGGCATGCAGGGAGGGGAGGAGTTCTGGGAGTCTCATGGGGAGTTGGGCAGAAAGATGGGTGCTGTGTTGGATTTGGGCAAGGAGATGGGAATGTGTTTGTTTTTGGGCAGGGGGTCAAGTAGGAAATGGGAGGGGGCGTTCGGGAAGGAGCGTCTATGTGGGAGTTGGATGGGTGGAAGATGGTGTGAGGGAGTTGAGCAAGGAGGGTGCTATGTGGGAGTCAGGTGTGAGGAGAGAGAGGGGTGTGTGGGACTTGTGTAAGGGAAGGAGGGAGAGGATGTGGGGGAGTTGGGCAGGGGTAGGGAGGAAGGGGTGTGTGGGAGTCGGATGTGGGAGAGTTGGGCAGGAGGGAGAGTTTGTGTGAGAATCCGAGTTGGGGGCGGAGACTGTGTGGGAGTCAGGGCATGTGTAGGAGTCGAGCAGAAGGGTATGAACACTGAGACAGGGAACATGGGAGGGTACGGGACTTGAGCGCTTTTGACAGCAGGGTGTGTCGGTATGCAAGTTGTGTTGGTAGAAGAGAGGGCATCAGGGAATACGGACAAGAGGTTGGTGGACAAGAGGTTGGTGGACAAGAGGTTGGTGGACAAGAGGTTGGTGGACAAGAGGTTGGTGGACAAGAGGTGGGTGGACAAGAGGTTGGTGGACAAGAGGTTGGTGGACAAGAGGTTGGCGGACAAGAGGTTGGTGGACAAGAGGTTGGTGGACAAGAGGTTGGTGGACAAGAGGTTGGTGGACAAGAGGTTGGTGGACAAGAGGTTGGTGGACAAGAGGTTGG